AAGTAAATTATTTAAACAAAAAAAAGTTATTTATAGAAAAATTAAGAGTTTTAATATTAGTATATACAAAACTTATTTTTTTTTACTAAAACAACCTCTTTTTGCTTTCTAAGTAAACCTGTTCAGTATAAAATTTTATATTTGAATATAAGTTAATAATTAGAAAATTTTTTTTTCTATAAATTTAAATTTGCAAAATATACAATTTTTGCTAAATTTTAAAATATTATTTTAAATAACTTTATTTGGCTTTTTTTAGCATATTTACTTTAAAAATTTGAATATAAGTTAATATGTAGATTTAAAAGAATCTTGGCCTTAAAGTTTATATGTAATTCTATATATTTTTATTATACAGTAATTTTATATAATAAAAAAATGGTTGGTTGAGTTAATAGCGGATAGATAAATGCGAGTGCTATTGTTTAATCAGTAATATTGATTGAAGAGTATGTACAAACGCGCCTTTAATAAAGGTAGCTATAACTAGAGAAATAGAGTTATTATTTAAATGCATACATAAAGAGCAAAATTCGATAATAATCTTTGATTAAATCCTGTAATTTGATTGGCCAATTGCATGAGTGTCTTCCTATCACTATTACAGTATTATCTTTTAAATCATATGACAGTAACGCTTAGTATATAAAATAGAAGTGTACGTCATACATACTCGGACGTCTTAATTTCTACAAAATGTCTCAAGATTCCTCTGATGAAGAATTCGAAAAATTTGAACCTACCTTGCAAAACGTGCTAGACCAAAAGTCCTTACATTGGATTTTTGTCGGAGGAAAAGGAGGCGTTGGTAACTATAATCTATTTGCATTTACTTTACAGGTATATCTACCTTTTTTTTGGAAAGAATTGAAGGTAATCGTGTCAATGAAATGTGTAGGTAAAACGACAACATCATGTTCTCTCGCAGTGCAGCTGAGCAAAGTGAGAGAGTCCGTTTTACTAATATCAACTGACCCTGCACATAATTTGAGTGATGCTTTTGGCCAAAAGTTCAGTAAAGAAGCTACGTTGGTAGATGGGTTTACAAATCTGTATGCGATGGTAATGTATAATTCATTTTGATTAATTTTGATTGACAAATTATTGGTACCAATATTTTATAATGTAATTCACGTTTATTGTTTAAAATGTTTAAAATATGATTTTATTTAGGAAATTGACCCGACATCATCGATTCAAGAGATGTTAGATCAATGTATTTATATAAATATATCTTTTTTTTTTAAGAAAAAATATATATATAGAAAAATATCCTGTTACTTGTACGTTAAGTCCGATTATCATTGCTTTTTTTTTTATTAGCTGAGCAACAAGGTGGAGGAGCTATGGGGGCTATGATGCAGGACCTAGCTTTTGCCATTCCTGGTGTTGATGAAGCGATGGGGTTTGCAGAAGTTATGAAGTAAATAAAATAGATCATTTGTTTCAGGTAGGGATTGGACCCGTCAAAAAAAAAAAACTTTACCCAAGCAAAAAACGGCTGGAGAATGAATTCATTAAAATATTCTACCAGATAACTCAGATGTATTGGGTTGATGTTTATATACATTAATCAACTCAGAGTGCTCTGGTTATACCTATTCAGTAAAGGTTATCTTTTAATCATAGAACATCCATGGGTCCAATCCCTGGTTTCAGGATCGATAAATTAATTTTTTCATTTATATTCGTTTGCTAAATCATCAGGCAAGTAAAAACAATGGAATATTCAGTAATCATCTTTGATACCGCCCCCACTGGTCATACATTGCGGTTTTTGAGCTTTCCCGGTGTGTTGGAAAAGGCATTAGCAAAAATTTCGCAATTGAGTGGACGATTCGGACCAGTCTTTCAGCAAGTAAGAGTGAACAATATTAAGCTATCTGGAAATGGGGCAAAGTTATATAAACATATGCTTTTAGTGAGATTTAAGAAATTTTATTAATTTCTTGCGGACGAAATTACAGATGTCTGGTATGATGGGTCTTAATGCTAATCAAGAAGATATGTTTGGAAAACTTGAAGGAATGCGCGCCATTATTACAGAAGTGAATAATCAATTTAAAGATCCGGTACGTTACTTGTAAAATTAGTTTCATTTTCAACTACGTATATTATGAATTCGTTTTTATTAGCAATGAATGAAATTCACTTTTTATATAATAATAGGATAAGACTACATTTATTTGCGTGTGTATTTCCGAGTTCTTGTCTCTCTATGAGACAGAACGAATGATTCAAGAATTAACTACTTATCATATCGATACTCACAATATCGTTGTAAATCAATTATTATTTCCACGGAAAGGTAAATTTCATGTTTCAAACACTTGCAAAACAGCATCAGTATTATTAATTTTATCAATTTGTCACTGTTGAAAGAACATGAGAAACTCAATCACTTAAAATACGTTTTTTTTTTTCTTTTAATAGATTCTAATTGTGAACAGTGCCTAGTTCGACACAAAATGCAACAAAAATATTTAGACCAAATTTATAATCTTTATGAAGATTTTCATATTATTCTAATGCCGCTTTTAACAAAAGAAATACGTGGTACACAAGATATCAAAGAGTTTTCTGAAATGCTAGTCAAACCATTTGCTCCTCCGGATTATTCAATGATGGACGACAGTTAGGACTAAGACCTAAACCTTTTTCTGACATTATCATATAGTCGGGAATCAGGATCTGCTTTATTTGGGATAATAACCAAAACCCAAATATATGTCCATATATGTCCCATTTTTGGTCAATAGTGTCAAACTCAAAAATTAATCAAATTTATTAAATCAATGCTATAAATTATTAAACCTTTTTTATTTTTCATTTCAAATTAAGTACCTAACGACTAGACAGGACGTGTTGAATAAAAATGATATGTTAGTCTAATAGTTATATCGAATATGTATGCAATAAGTGAAAAATAATTGTGTGAAAACTTTTCACAAAACTTTCGATAAAGTTTATAGGGATAAAAATTTTTTTTAGTATCAGAAACTTACAAAATTTTAAACTAAAAATGAGTATTATCGCTATTAGCATTCTTGGTAAATTAACAGAAATCTGTGAAAGTAAAGGCTAATTATTTGAAACGAGTATAAAATTATCAGTTAATTTATTTACTATCGATATATTATTTATATACATTAAAAATGTTAGGGGTTATGTGACGTAACGACACAAAGCCTCTACGTAGCAGATTCATGCTAATGTAACATATATAGTCAATTCCCAATTATCATTTAATATTAAGCTCCAGCTTATCGAATATGAATAAGGATACTGGAGCTTGGCTAACTGGCTACCTGATTAGTTTATATACTGTAGAAATTGAAATACTGAAACTAAGTAAATTTCAATATTATTTTCAATACATTATTTATTTATATTTTTAAGATGTTTGGTACCTTTTCTAATGTAAATGGCTTCTTTCACAAATGAATTCTCTTAATAGTTTTCTTTTCGGAGAAATGCATTTAAAGGCAAAATTGGTGTGAAAATAATAACGAATGTTAGGATGGGTACATGAATGAAGAGAGCTCAATTGACATGTTTTCTAGTAATTTACTAGTAATAAATGGCAAAAAAGTTCTAATCCATTCGAACTTTTCATTTTCTCCTAACTGCTTGGCGTATTCTCATGATGTAATTTAAATGTTAATGGATTGCTCTTTTTAACATTCTAGGATAATTACAAATTCATTTCCTACAAAAAGAAATTCATCTATATAAGCCATTTACAAAAAGATAACGTATTATTTTTTTATAGTCTAACAAAAAAAAAAAAAAAATACAATTCAATAAACAAGAATAGATGCAACTGATGTGTAAAAAATGATAATAGAATAAAAATATATTTAAATATGGTAATAATTTGTAGTATAAAAATTCCCATTATAAGGGGTTTTTTCCTCAAATTAAATTCTTCTCCTCCATTAATACATCCCACTCGCATTGAAGAACTTGTTTTTTTTTTCTATTTTTCTTCTTTTTTTTTCTTTTTTTTTTTCTTTTTTTTTTTTTCTAATTTTTTTTTTTTTAAACACTTTTCAATCATTCCCAATTTTTATCCTATAATATGGAAAATTTTTTTGTTATTTTGTAAATGTGAAATGTGTGACTTATAATTTTTTTTTTCGAGGCATAAAGTTTTAAGGGAATGATCAATCGCATAAATCCACTTTGTTTTGTCAAAATATAAAGGGTCGAAAAGAGAAAGAGTATCCACCTGTCAATAACAATTGTATGTACAAACACTCTTCATATATTTACAAAAGTAACAAATTGATAAATTGAATGTACATTCTAAACTTCTAAGTGAAAGGATGATAAGTTCAAAACTGCACAATGCATTCGATAGATAATCATCTATTATATTAAATGATGGTTGATTATACCAAATAGATTGTATGGCTTGAGTGTATGCGTTAAAAAGGTGAGAAAAGCGAATGATGAGAAAGAGTGCGTGTTATCTAAATAAGGTTATTAGAATTAATAAGATAAAGAGAGTGTTTGTCGTACGAGTCAGAAAAGAATGTTTAAATGGTGGAATCCTCGGGTTATGCAATCGTATAAGCACAAAACGGTCGAAATATGCTCATTGCCAGTGAGTTATTAGCAATCGCGTATTAAAGATAGTGATAAAAAAAAAACCGTCAAATGCCCGAATACGACCGGAGATGATGTGAATTTTTGGGTTAAACTTTTTTTTTTCGTTTTTGCGACATACGTCGCGAAAGAAATAAAAAAAAAAAAAGGATTGAAATATACATATTATGATGAAAGAATTACACAAGATCAATTACACACGTGAAAGGAATATAAAATATAAAAAAGGAATAATATGTACATTATTCCCCACGCGCATATTAAATTCATAATCTATTGATGCAAATATTAATGTCCATCCCATCGACAAATCAACAAAGCAAAAAAAAGAAACCATTTTCGAAAATAAGTAACATTATTTGATATTAGAAAAAGAATTTCAACATTGATTATGTACGCCATCGAGAACTTTGGCGTCGCGATGACTTTCCAAGGATAGCAGATGAAGCATTATTCTTTTTTGAACGCCATAATGTTGGTACACCTCCATTACGTCCACGAGAGCCACTACTCTTTTTTATATCAACTTCATCTTGTAGTCGGTCATTTGTTGGTCGTGGAGACGCAGATCTCGGCAAACTAGGTAAAGAAGGTGATCTAGTAAGGGAGCTTAGAGGAATAGTCATGGAGCGCCTTACGGAAGGACGCTGAACTTTTTCCTGTGTACTAGATGAGACACTCACTACTGAGTTTCCGTCACATGATTTGTCCGTATTACGACGACGTTTGTATGGTTCAGGACTGGGTGCTGTATCGGGTAACGCACAAAATAATAGACTAACGCGTTCTTGTTCGGTGTTCCAGTGAGGATAACATAAGCGATATTCGAGGGGAATATGCTGTTCGTTTTTGTCAATAATTTTACCGCGTTTTGTATAGTTTTCAAAATAAGGACCACCACAAAAACTACACTTTTTGGCGCTAGCAAGATAATCTTTGATATGATCAGTTGTATCTTCTAATATTGGAACTTGAAGTCTAACAATAGTACGTGCAGCAAGTTCCATTAGCGTCGGTGGAGAATGCGTAAGCTGATGTACAAATTCTGTTTTTAGAGGACATCCATCAGTTCGCAATTTCCGAAGTTGTTGAAGCCGTCCAACTTCAGCAGGTAAAACAGTCAGTGGGTTTTCTCGAACATCCAAATGGACCAAAGTTTTTATTTGACCAATCTCTGGCGGTAATTCTGTAATTTTATTATCATCAAGTAAAAGAGTACCAAGTTTCTTGAGAGAACCAACGGAAGACGGTATCCATGTTAATTGATTATTTGACAACTTTAATTCCTGCAATTTGTACAAAAATCCAATTGTATCCGGAATAAATTCCAATCGATTTTTAGAAACATCAAGTGTTGTCAAATTTTTCATGTAGCCAATTTCTGCTGGTATTTCAGTCAATTCGTTACAGCATCTATAAAATCAAAATTTATCACATTTTAATCTTACCATATTTTATTATAATATATTTATTAATTATTTTTTAATACTTACATTTGTAAGCATGTTGTCACATATAAGAAACAAATATTGGGACTTAATTTAACAAGACCGCGCCGACAAAGTCCAATATTTTTAAAATTTTGTAATTCACTGAATACTATTGGACACAAATTAGCATTTATATTAAACTCATCCGGTATCATTCCTTGACAACAAGAATTATCATCTTCCGGTTTATCCACGTCCATCATAACTTCGGGTGAAATAGTATCGGTCGTTACAGTGAAAATCGACGCGGTTTCACCAGTCGGTATTATTGAACTAGGACGATTAGACATGGTTTGAGAGGTATTATTAAAGTCACCAATGTCATTAAAGAGCGTTTCAGGGTTATCCGAAGACGGATGTATATTAGACCGTAACGTTGATGGATTTAATCCCGTTATGCATTGTCGCTGATGTATTGACTTTGGAACATATCCGAAAGGCAAACGAGCTTGTTCTTTTGTGAGTTGGCCACCCATTTCTTTTACGTCGTTGAGATGCTTCTTAATGAGATAATATATGTAATTTTTTGCACTAATTGAATTTTTGCCTTTTTCGTTGAATGGAAATCGAGATGGCGAAAAGATGTAGTAATAATTTTGAACTATAAGCTATTAAGTATTTTGTCAAAGTTAATGCACCTCACAATTTAAAAGCTATAGAACTTCACTTTTCTTATAGCTTGATAAATTTAAAAGAAATGGTAACAGGTAAAATGCGCTAATGAACAGATGTGGCTGGTACTAAAAAAAAAGAAAAAAAACAAGTTTTAAGTAACAGCCCTTCGGTGTTTATTCCTCAATTAAGCTGTTGAACAAAGTAGTTATTGTCGACAAAGGAAGACCCCGGTTTCAATAAAAATATATTATATGCCAATAGGAGCGAAGGCAAGCATTATTGTTTCAAAGACGAACCAAAATTAGATAACCTTTAAACGGTTTTAAAAGCGATAAAGGAAAGAGAGATTTTGATGTGTAAAGTCAAAATAATAAAGGTATCGTTTGCTTTTCGATGTTCAACAACAAAAGCGCGAATTAGAAAAAAAAATTAGAAGGAATAAACTCACTAAAAAAAAAAAAAATGAAAAATAAAAAATAAATGTTGAACAAAAAAATGTGGAAAAAGGGATGCTAATTTCAAAACGGGGTTTTCGTCTCGCAATAACTAAGGTTGGTAATATAATCCAGTCATACATGGAATTTATGTAAACAGTTGTACACATACTTACTTAATACATTTACTATAAATGTTGTCAAGTTCGCATAAACAAATTTGCATTGTATTAAATATTGAAAATGTTGTGGCACTATGAATTTTTTTAGGTCGAACGAACGTTAGAAGAAATACGAAACATAATGTTACACCCTTTGAACAAATGATGGCTAAAGACACTTTTTTTACATGCGACTTGCCAATTAGGGTATCGGACGGGGTATTGTACAACTTGCTCCAACCTATAAATAACATTCGATTATGTAGTTATGAATTTATAAAAAATTAATACATGCATATATATTTAGTGATTGGATTATTATCGATATTTTTATAATATCAAGTGTCAAATGCACTTTTATGTTAATGATTTGTCTTGTTTTTTATTAATCTTCATGGCTGACAAAAACATTTCTTCCAATCCTGCCTCTTTCATTCTTTAAATAGCGTAAACATATGTTAATAATTAATGATAAGTTATAAAATTTCTAAATACACTTGTTTTATAGAAATTATACCTACGCACTTTGAAGAAATTTCAGACATACTTTCAAATTCAGAAACCCCAGGGTTAATACGTCCCAGCCTTATTTTTACAAATTCACCATGATTGTGTAATGGTGAATTATATACTTCAGACTCTTCTGAGCGGATGGTAATCGCTTGCCATTTTAAATTCTTGAAAAAGATCAAATGGTAATTTTAAAAAGTCTTCTAAATTTTTATCTAAATAAATACGTATATACCTTTAATCTAGAGATGTAATCTTGAACATTATCATATAACCCTTCCACAATAATTATTCCAGGGTATCCAGGTTTTGAAAGTCCTTATAATTACATAAAGCAATAAGATAAACTTTGTGTAAGATCATTAAAAAAACTAAATTACATACCCCATATTCCTAATTCATTAGCCCATCGACATACACATTTCCTTTTTTCAAGAGACAATAAATGATGTGTCCATATCAAAATTCGACAAATTTTAAACGAATAGTCACTTTTTTCATTAAATTGAGAAAGCTCAGATGTTGATGTTTCAATAATAACCGGTTGCTGCAAAAATGATTTTATATGCTGATAAATGTCAAAGATGCAACATTCTTTAAACGAAGTGAAATAAAAGGGTCAGCAGTTTTAGGTATTTTATCACGTGGTGATCCAATGCTACACTGAGCATCCCAAACAGACCGAAGGTCGATACCAACCATTATCACATCTTTCATTCAGTTTCTTTTCAATTTCCTGATTTATCTCAGTCCACATTTGTTTAGTAGCAGTGTCAGATGAAAAATAACATTCTGGTCTAGCCTCTGGATATCGGCAGGGTAGAAACACGTTGAACCAATTTTCACCCATATCCAGAAAAATTCGAAATCGAAAGGGAGAAACTTCTAAGCCAGAAACATCATGAGTTAACATAAACTTGTCCAGTGCTGACTAGAAGATAAATAAATAGCGTTAGGCAATCTCTTTTTAATGCATTAAATTTGATGTTAATATCATTAACCTTCCAATGTTCCAATTGATCTGGACCACCAACCCACTTAAATTCGTTATCGTTAAACATGGAGATTAATAAAGATAATTCTTCATATTGTAATCGTTTATTATTTTCAGTCATTGTCTTATTTTGATTATAAGGAAATAATGGTTAATATAATATAAAGAAAGTTCCCGCGAAAAGTTAAAATCCATTTATATAGCTTTTTGTATGTTTATGATCTGCAGTCAGTTTTATCATTTGACTAACATGTATAAGACATGCAAGGTGAATCCAGCACAGAGACCTGGACATCTATTTATAGGAATTTCTAAATCCTAACTAAATTCGATTGTGTACAGTACGACATTGATAAAATCTTAAATTCCACGATAGGGAAAAAAATTAAATTTGATTGGTTAAAGAATCAAATACCTTATGATGAATCGGAACCTATTTCAGTATTTCAAATTACGTTCCTAACAAAAATAAATTTTCTTTATCGTTATCCTTTTCCAACAATAGGCGGCAATAAAGATTTTTCAAAATGCGACATGTTGCCATATTAATACAGTAATTGAAAGTTAAAAAATAAATATATAGTAATATTTTACAAACAAAAAAAAAATTTAATAAAGTGGTTTCTCTAATTAATATGCGGTTCCAACTCCTGGCATCGAAGTTTCAAATTCTAACAATAAAATTGTTAAATGTATAATAAGCATTCTTCATAGCCGGTTTTACCATTTCAGTCAAAAAAAATAGATTACATATAAATTTGCAAACCGATTTATATTTTAAAATTGTTTCAAAAAATTGCAATTTGAATTTGAATAAATACGTAGAAAAAACCATTTATACGTACACTGTGTGCGTATATATGTGCATATATGTATACGGATAACGGTAATTTGGCAAATGAGCACGTGCCGCTTTGCGGCGCGTGTAGCCAATCATTTGTCAAATTACCGTATTCGACAATTTGCCCAATATCCGGCAATTTATGATCATGATTGGTAGGGAGTCGCTCGCTGAGTTTTAATTTTGAATATTGGAATAAACATAAT